TAACAAAATTACTCAAACTTAAATGTAAATGAAAACAGAAAATATAAAAATAAAAGCCAACTCAAAGTATTAATAAATACTATAACAATATACAATGTAATACTAAAATACTGATTTGTGGGAATTTGAGGGGAGAAAAAACATTTACTTTGGAAAAATTCAACCGTAAAAAAGTAAATTCTCAAACTTTTGGACCCACTGTACATCTCTAACACAAAAATAGTTATGGCATTTTCTACTTGTATAACTCATTTGCAGGCACACATGCAACCAGATTTGAAATCAAAACTTTTTCAGTGAAGGAGCACCTGATGATATGCTTGATCTGATGTAAAATAGATGTTTCCATGGCAACATTGTGTGTGGTCAACAGGTACTGTCTGAACTCATCAAAGAACATCTCGTTGCCCTCCTCATAGCAGCCGTAGTTCTGCGAATGCTCCTTCTGGATGCAGTGATTGGTCAGGTGACTGGTCATGTTCTGCAGATCTGAGCTGTTGTAGGGCTCTGAAGACGTCCTCAACACACCCTCACGGTACAAGTAGATATTATACTGATGGTCTACAAGCACCCAACTCCTACAGACAAGACAGCCAGAGAGAATATCCATTGGCTTTAGAAGCACTTTGACTTCATTAGGATGGGACATTGCAATTCTATGCTATTCTGTAATCAAATCAAAAACATTCTGCACAAAGGAGTATGCGATTCATCTTACCTTATATCAAATTTGCGATGTCCCGGCTCCAATAGCAGCGGTTTTTCCAGATACTTCTGAATGACATGCACTTGGCCTTGATTATCGATGAACTCCAGCAACTCATTTGCATCATGAGATATCAATATGCCTGCACCTGAACAAAGTGAGGAACAATCTCATGCTATTAAATCATGCAGCAAGATTGCACTTCTTTTAACTTGCCATTTTGGACAGATGGAGATTCGTACCTTTTGCACCTGCTGATGATTTGGCGATCCACACCGTTCCCTCTCCGCTTTCCTTTCTGGAGTTATAAGAAGCCAAGAAGACCTCTCGCTCATCTGTCTTTGGGTTGCTCTTCATGTGGCTGATGCCATTGGTGGCTGGGGCCACTGGGGTGTTGAGGTTGGTTGGGTATATGATGTAAGACTCAGGCAACCAGTTACAGGAGTCCTTTAACTCTGGACTGGTCTTGATAATCCTGAACATCCAACATGCTTATTTAAATATAATTCACAACTTAAGAACTGCAGAGTTTCTAACTCAACGACATGGGAAAAAGGAAATGAGTGTGATTTGAAGACATTATTCACTTAAGCAAGCATTAACTTAACAGTATCGTTCCTAAGATCACACATCTAAGATCCTAAAATGTGGTTATACAGTAAATCTGAACGTGAACTTCATTCATCTGATATGTTTAAATAAACCACATACTTAACCAGTGATGCTTTGCGACACAGTTTATCGGCTCCTCTGTAATAATTCACCAGCTGCATCAACCCCGGTTCATGACCTGTAGAGGACACAGCGGGGTATATGACATTGAAATATCGAAATATTGAACAGTGACCACAGTGTCCTGCAGCTAAAAGTACTTAAATTTCAACGATTACAATAAAATAATAAGATAACAGTAAGAAATGTTTCTTGAGCAGTAAATCAGCATATTAGAATGACTTCTGAACGATCACGTGACACTGAAGACTGGAGTAATGATGCTGAAAATTCAGCTTTGACATCACAGAAATAAATGATATTTTAAAATATATTAAAATAGAGTCTTTTTTTTAATAATAAACTGTAATAACATTTCACAATATTACCGCTTTACTGTATTTTTGACCAAATCAATGCAGCCTTGGTGAGCAAAAGAGACATTAAAAAAATAACATTTCTCTTAATGTTTAAACTTGTATTATTTCAACATTTGGGCCGATAGTGAGTATATGTGTATGTATGTATATACTTAAGGTACACATTCTCTTAAACTTATAGAAAATGTAATGAAATACTGATATTAAAGCTTAACATTTTCATGTTGAAAAAGTTGATGTCAACCTAATTACATATTACTACACAGTTACATATCCATAGGAATGCATTATAGAGCTGAATCTTTGTGATCAGCATTGCTGTGTCCGGTTTTCAGTGCTCAATTATTAATAATTGATCATTATTGCATTGCTGCACACATGCACCGTTTCATCATTCATTGTCATAAGTTCAACAGCTTGCACTGTCCATAGTCTCAAAAAACAAAAACAAAAAAAAACCATGGTGTACTGAAAATGTGCATAGGTTAGATGCATTATAACAACTTGCTGAGACTCCTAACTTTCAATGCACACTACAACATGTAAACAGCATGGGATTATAAAACATATTATTATTACGAGATGGCAATGAATGTTTAATATGCAGCTCTTGAAATCCTTTACCCAGCCGTCCAAAAGGCAGCCGATTTCTCTCTCCCAACATTAAATTGAACCGAGGATTGTCCTTCTTCAGTCGTTTCCATTTTCCAGTCGAGATGAGGATCTTGGCGACCTCGGCATACACAGTGCTGTTGTCATCTCTCAAAACAAACGTGTACATCGGTGAACTCATAGCCCACAGGAGTGATGATGGTCACACACTAGCTAGCCGACTACCGTTATCTGTCTCCCAACAAAGTAGACTGAAGCCGGGCATACATGACTTTCTTGATGCTTCCTCTAGTTGTTTTTGCACAGAGATCTTTGTAGGAAACAGTCGCGCTGTGATCCAGACCGAAAAGCAGGGCTGCGCATCTGTACCCGCAGTCTCGTGGCCGGTGCGAGGACAGGATATTTTAGGGTGTGACTCTTGAAGGATTTGGCTTCTAAATTCTCGCAGCTAACAGTCTACGTTAGCTTCCTCTGTTCCCATGATTGTCTATGAACAGCAGATATGGAAAAAAACAGCTGGCTTAGTACGGAGTCTAAGAATAGAGGTCGACTATATGACTGTGCATTTAATTCCTCGCGTCCTGTGTAGTCGTCTAGACAGTAGACATCAGTTTAAAGCCCCAGTTGAAGCCTCTTTATCCCAACACACTTATGATGTGACGTACCGCTGGGAGTCAACGCACGCACGCCGCACAGACTTGTGGTTACTGTAGTTTTATGCTACATATGGGCGACTTCAACAAGCACGAAAGACAAAGAAATAGCAACACAGCACTTTGAGTTTTGTCTATATTGGAACAATTGTCATGATTTTCAGAGCAAAAATTGCATAAATTATATAAGAAAAAAAATCATGTTTGAAATAAATAGCCTAATAATTATGACATAAAAAGTCGAAATTACGAGATGAGAGTTATGTTATAAATTCGACTTTTATGTCAAAATTATGACTTACCACTGTAAAAAAAATAATTGTTGAGAAAACTTAAAATTGCAAGGCAACTTAAGTTCTCTCAATTATTGTTTTAAAACTAATTGTGCTAAGTAAAACTATGTGTTTTGTCATTTTGAGTACACTAAATGCAAAATGCCTCGTTCAGCCAATATATTCATGAAGAAGACAACAAAAGATTTATTGTTCAGTAAACGGTCCTTTATTAACACAATAAAGTAATTTCTGATATGATAATCATATGTATATAGTCTAGAAAACACTTAATATGTTAAGTGAACCGTGCTATATGTTTGTAAAGAGAATAACAATCATCCTTACCAAGCAAAGAAATGTAAGAGATAGTTCTACATTGCTGAACTCAACCCTTGACGCATTAACCTCAAGAACGGTGACAATCAACAAATGTAAAATGATGAGCTCTTTACATCACAACACAACAAATAACTAACAATAATGGAGAAATCAACAAAAAGGTTTAAATGAAGTCATCAAACAGCAATAAATAAATAAATAAATAATAATAATAATCCTATAACGGTAGCCTAACTATATAATTTATTCATGCTGCCTCACAGTCTTAACATTTCAGGAATATGAAATTCTTTGTTTAGACAACTGTTTTTGACTCGTTGGGACAACATTTGGGGCAATTCTGTTGGTCTGGCATGGGTTTTTACTTTCAAGAAAATAGCATTTTTTAATTTTTAAAACTCAAAAGATTTCATAAACTGGAAAATATAGTTGCTTTTTTTTTTTACAGTGTATGTAATAATTTAGATTGTTATGCCATATATCAATAGATATGACTTTTTCCTTAATTTGGACTTTTTATGTAATACTTTCTACGTTTCATCTCATAAATATGGCTTTTATGACAGTTATTTCATACTTTCGTATGTTTAATAATTTACGTGGTAAATATGACATCTCTTTTTATCTCAAAAGTCTATTATGATTAATACAATTAGGCTTAATTATGATGTCAAAATTATGATTTAGCAAAAAACTGTTCTTTTTTTTCTTATGTGGCAGAAATGTAAATAGAGAACATGGAGAACCCTTTATGAACAATGCTATCATAAAGTCTGATAAAGTCAGACAAATAAAAGTGCTATAAGGTCTGTAGAATAAGACTGAATCAAGGCAAAAATCAAATCATACTTTTAGAAATCATACTTTAAAGGATCCCGTCACAGTCAAAGTGACATTCAGAACTGGACTGAATAAATAAATATGTTAAGAGAACTGAAACTGCCATTTATTCATTTACTGGGACATCAGTGTTCAGTGTTATAGCCTACAAATCAATCAATTTAATCAAATGAACACATTTAAATTACATTTAAAAACAATTAAATGACTTCTTTAATAATCTATGTAATCTGTTTCATCTATCTACTTTTATTTATTTATTTACTTGCTTACTTACTAAATAAAAGGAAAAATGTGAAGCATGTGTGTGTTTTATTTTAGTGCGGGATTATATAATAGAATTTAGTGAAGAGTACGGTCCTGATCCACACTCCTAATCAGTAGGTGGCGGTAATGCACCTAAAAGTTGTATGCCATCCGCCATTAAACACCAAGAAGAAGAAGAAGAAGAAGAAGAAGAAGAAGAAGAAGAAGAAGCAGATGTGTGTTATTATGAAATGGTAAACTCTGGTTCACACTCCAATACAGTAGGTGGCGATAATGCACCTTAACATTGGTGCTACCCGCCATAAAACCGAAGAAGAAGAAGATGTGTTTCGCCAGGCGATGGCGCACGCGATCTTAGTATGGCGTGGCCGGAAGCTGCGTGGATCGGCGCAGATCGTGCAGGAGGCGCGAGGTTTGGTCGAAGCTATGGTTGTTTTGTTCCACATCGCTGTATAGACTTTCAGCTATTTCTGAACTTTACAGCATTCACACAAGAAACACGTTTAACCCAGAGGTAGGTTTCTACTTTCCTCACCAAAAACAAAACGAACACGGGAGTGTGTTTGAAGCTGTATTTGAGATTTGTGTTCCTGCTGTCAGCTCCCGTTAAGAGTTTAGGTAAACATTGTCCTGTCTGTCTGAATGTTCTACAGATATTTCATACTGGCACAGTGTTAATACCCCGTTATTTATTTAGTACATTAATACGGTTCATGTGAGAGTGGGCTTTAGTGTTTCACTTGTCTGTCACATAACATTTGTATGGATATGCTTGAAATTATAGTAAGTACAAGTAGAGTGTTTGTACACACATGCTTATTCTTTATTATTAACACATTTCACAATTTAAAATAGTAAGTCATCGAAACAACGAAATAACGCAAATGTACAGGAATTGTGTACAGGTCAAGTCAAATCTGTCTTATGTTTGGTCTCTGCTCACTCTTCTTTCTCTTAACTAACTTCATGAGGTGCATCCAGTGGGATGCTTTTTAAACACTGTTGAAGTTTGAAAAAGTAACTCAGATATTTTCTTGTAAATTAAAAAAGTAATGCGTTACTTTACTAGTTACTTGAAAAAAGTATTACGTATTATTAATCTGATTACGTAACTCGCATTATTTGTAATAAAGTTCACGTGTATGCTGTACTCTTGGCTGTTTTTTCTTCATTATCAAGTCCATCCATTAAAAATGGGTTTGTTTTGTTTTTGGAAAGAATAATAGTTTTGCAAAGACATTAGTTTTGTAAACAAATACAAAATGCCTATATATGGATATACAGGCAGTTTATATTTGTCTACAAAACTAATTTCAACATTTTGAAAAAAATTTAGATTGAAAGATCTTCAGACAGAAAAAAATTCAGACAAGCATGTTGAAATTTTGACTGATATTGCACTTTATACTCTCTATACATACACAAAGTGCATACAAATATATCTAGTGTAACGTACTGGTTACTGTCATTAGATGTAATTTATATACAAATACTCATAAATGGCTGTCTCACTTAGAATTTAATTTATAATAATTGTGACAGCCATTGTAGCCAAGTAAAATGTTTAAAAATGATTTAATGCAAAAAGTATAATACCATTAAAAATTATCAACATTTTGTCCACACTGTAAATAAAAGTTGTGAGTTTTTTTTTTGAGTCATAATGCAAATGAATCAGTTTTGAGTTGAATCACTAAAAACAGTTTTAATGGATTTCACAGAAATTAATCAAATGGATGTGTAACAATTTTTGTAACTGCAGTTTAAATTAGAAACACTATTAAAACATTTCTGCCTTCATGCTCTCATACTTGAAAGTCGCACTATAGGAAAATGTGCTACTTAAGTGCATTCAGGTTATTATGGTATTCACAGTGTTGCTTAACTTTTATATTACCTTTTATATCATTATGAAAATATCGTGAATTGCTATTATTCTCAGCCCTGCAAGAACTTCCATGCTGATGCTGTGGGGACTTCTCTACTTTTATACATTATTAATTGATCCTGTGCCCTCTTCTTATGCAGGCTGGAGCAGGCCAAGCATGAGCAGAGCACACCTGGACGAGTGGCAGAGGAGGTCCTTTGACATTTCATCTGGCTCCTGTACACCTGAACAGACGGCCGATGCTTATCGGGCACACGTCCTGTCCATTCAGTATGCATGGGCGAGTGCTGAGCTCTCTCCGGCCGGAGCTGCCAGCCTGCTCGGGACCTACTCGGAGCGGTACGCCGCAGTCCTGGACTCAGACGACCCACGCACAGGGCTAAACAACTATGCAGAGAGTGCCCTGCAACTGGCTCGCAATCAAAAGAACCATAGCGACAAATGGGAGTCGTCCCTAACGTTCGAAAATGTGTTCAACCTGCCGTGCGTGCAAAGGATGATGCGGGCCGGGTCAAAAGAAGACGCTCTCCTGGTAGATCCGGTAGATGTTAACATCACTGTTGGTGGTGAAATCTGCAGGGGAGGGGAGAAAAGCAGTGATCTCTCTGGTCCTCCTTGTGGATTAAAACGAGAGCCTCTGGCTCATGGGCCCACTGCGCCTCCACCTAGAGCTGAGATGGGAAGGGGGGTTAGTAACCTACTTAGCGGTGCTGCAGAGTGGGCTAGAGGACATCAAGGAGCCCCTCCGCATATGTCCTTGGCACAAAATGCTCCAAATGTTCCAACAGGATCTACGCCTATGTTTACCTATAACAATTTCAGTTCCACAGGCCGTACTAGTGTGTCTCAGTCTAGTGTGGGTTGCACAAGTGGATCCAATGTGCATAATCAGCCTGTGTTCTTTTCCTCCACAAACCCCTCCAAGAGGAAGAACTTCTACAGCTCAGGAACTGAAAGCAACAGAAGCTCATTCCCATCACAAGGCGAGCAGGAACTGCGAGGGAGGGGACGGAGAGGAGAGGAAGGTGTCAGCACTCATTTTAGATCAGCACGAGAGCAGTTCATCGTTGACCAGCAAAAAAAGCATTCCCATCAGGGTCAACGAAGCTCTGTGGCCAACGTTGCTGCAATCACCAAGAAATGCCTTGGGGCGAATCGGTCTCGTGGGACATCCTCCAAATTCATCTCTCCTATGCCAAGGCAAGAGGAAGTGGGCAACTCGATGGAAAACGCACCACAAGACATGCAACCTGTTGATGAGCGACTAAAGAACTTTGAGCCCAAAATCATTGAACTTATCATGAGTGAGATCATGGACCATGGCCCCCCGGTAGCTTGGGATGATATTGCCGGTCTGGAGTTTGCCAAAGCCACAATCAAAGAGATTGTAGTTTGGCCCATGTTAAGGCC